CAGTTACAGAGCAAAGCCTATAGAAGCAACAGACAAATTTAAGCCATGAGGCAGAGGGGCAGCAAAGCAGGAGTCAGCAGCTAAAATCCTGTGTGGATCTTCCTATTGGTCCTGGGATTAAAATTGCAGTTTAAAACAGTTTCTTTTCCTGTCACCACCAAAAACAAGCTATTCCCTAGCTAAAATCATCACTCTGTGTTTCATGTCCTGCCCCTCCTTCCCCCAAAACATCAAAGCTCTTCATGCCCCATCACATCAGGCAAGATGCAGACTGGGGAGGGAGACAGGGAAAGCCATTTTGAAATTAAATGTTAAGGGAGAGGAACTTACTTTGCGACATTTGCCTTGGTGGGGGATCCAGAGATCAGCCTGTTTGAAGAGCATTCCTGCACCACTTCCCCAGCAACTTGCACTGCTGCTGCTCTCCAGAAATGAGAGAGCAAAGAGGCAGAGAGAGCAAGACTGTGCAGAGCCCAGCGCCGCAGAGAATGAGACAGAAGCAGCAGAGTGAAGCACCAGTCTGCTGATTAATTCAGCCTGTTTCCAGTCACGCTGCAGATCCAGCAAGGAGGCGGCGGATGGGGGTGGGGGATGAGGGAGGATGAGGGATGGAAAGAGGGGGAGAAAAAAGCAGAGAGGGAAGAAAGTTTGCCCAGGATAGCACCAGATGTCTGTGAGAATGGTTCATTCATCAGATGGAGCCGACATAGTGAAGATCCCTGGGCTCACTGCCTGCAGAGCTGCATATGCATGCACAGGAAGGAATGATGCTGACAGACAGGGGTCTGTGCAAAAGCAGATGGCAAATTAGGTAGGACAAAGTGCTATAAAACATACTACAGGGGAAGAAACACCTGAGTAGGCATGGAAAAGGACTAAATTGAGACCAAGAGCCCCTGGAATACTAACTACCTCACAGATGACTCCACAGCTTTGGATTCAAGTTCAATTAAAAAATATAAATATTTGCTATTTAAACAAGTTAAGATGGTTACAGACCCCATCTGAAGTGTTCCCTCCCTCTGCTCTTGTTGATAAAGAATTCAGCAAAACCCCCTCTCAGCATCCCTTATTCATCCTGAGCCACACAATCTGAACTAAAAGGTGCACATAAATTCACCATAGCCATGCCTGGGGCTCCACATTTACCTGGGCATGACACACAGGAGGCAAAGGATGAGTGTAGACAGGGAAGGATTGGGTAGAACAACAACACAGGGATAAAAAGGTGAAGAAGGAATGAGCCTTCTCTCTCATTCTCATCTTTTGCAGGAATATTTCTTTCTCGCTGTTGGAGGGATGCACCTTTATAAGTGAATATTTATTTAGCTCCTACTTCAGTGCTGTCCTAATTCTGTCTGGGGCTTCCTAGTTCTGCAGAGCAATCACTAAAACAACTGCTTTCATTCCACACAGAAAGGGGTAAAGAACTGGCCCAGCCAGGCACCACCTCAATAGCTTGCCAAGGGTTACAGCTGGCTGGTACCAAGCAGGACAGGCACTGCCAAGGCTTCCAGTCTCAGCATATTGTGCAGCTCTGAACACCATGTACAGGTGTCAGGACTCACCTACTCTGCCTCGACAAGCTGTTCACTTCTTTTCCTTTTCTGAGGTTCAAATGCCTCATTAGGCATAGTCCATATTCTGTGTTTTAAACCAGAAGGGCAGAGATTAAGTGGCCTCAATATTCACAATAAACCCAACACAGGGTCTGGTTATCACCTGTGTGTTGGCACTGAGGTACACATCGGTGTGTAATCTCATAAAGCTCCCAGAGCCAAAGCTGAAGGGTAGCAGACAATTTGTATTTATTTAATGTAACTTCAGGAGAAAGAAGAAGAGAGAAAGAGGCAAAACATCCTTTATCCTTCTGCAGGGCATTTTGTTTCCTAGACAACAATTTTAAACTGCAGAAAACAAGAAAATGTCCTAATGGCAAAATTTTTCTTTCCTGCCTGCTAAGGAACTACTCATCTAGTCCTTTCAACACAAAGAAAAAAGGAGAGAAAAAAGAAAAGATCAACAACAAGACTGGGTAAGAGTGGATAAACCCTCACACAACACACCTGTAAGACCCCTTCTTTATCACAGTGGTTGCTGATCTGTTTCCCATAGCTGTGTACCTTTTGGAAACTTGAATGAAAGTGAATAAAATAACTTGCTTGTGCAATACCAGGATCAATCCTTGCGCTTCATGCAGTTAGAGGTCCCAACCTCAAAACCTCCAGCTTTGGTCATGGACACAAATGGAATTGGATCAAATTGCTTCTTCTTGTTTACCCCACTGCTGAGAGACCTTGCTCTGAAGTGTTTTGTGTAGGGCAGTAATTTGTACTATGTAGCTTCCTTCTAATATCAACTGGTATCAGAAATTGCATCTGGATATGCATGTGTGCATTAAATAATAGAATTAAAGAGCAGAAAACAAAAACTTGGGATATGAAGATAAAACTGGGACCTGAAACAGAGGGCTGAGTATAAAGGTAGGGACTGACCCACACAAAATCTGCAGCATAAATGAGAAACGCCTGTGGAAAAAGGATCAGTTGGTGAAAAAGCCCTTGGAAGAAGAGCTCAGCTTTTAGAGAACAGCAGGGAATAAAAACAGAGACACAGTCACTGGCAGGATGAGAAGTGGCAAAGGACTTGGGCTACTTTTCAGCTCAAAGGTAGGACTGTAGCTCTTGTTAGGCAACCTGGAACAAGGCCCAACAGTGCTGGAGCTGGAGCGATGTGGAGCACAGCACAGGCTCCCTGAACACGTTTCCAGGCTCTGGCCAGGAGGCACGGTGCTGTATCCAGGCTGCAGCAATTACACTGGGACAATACAGCTCAGTTGTTATGGGTAACTGTGGAAGGGATGATGTCAATAATTTCTGTTAGCGTGGCTGCAAATCCAGCCTCCATCTAATGCAACGCACTCAGAAGCCTCCCACTGTCCTGTGGCAATCAGTGCTGCTCTCTCAGTATGTGCTGAGTGGTCTTGGAGCAGAAATTCAGGCACCTTTCACAAGTATTAAATTCACTTCAGAAATACACAGAAAATTAAAAAGTCAGAGGAGGAGGATAAAGAACAAGGTACCAGCACATTTAATTTAAGAAGGATTTGGCTCTGCTCCTAAAATACTCTCTGCCTTTCTCTGTGGTGCCTGGCTTCTGGCAAAAACTGGAAGGCAGCCTGCATTACACCTGACAAACTCTGATCCTCAGCCATTCCTGACAAGGGAACTTATTAGCCAACTGGAGCCAGAGGACAAGTCTCTCATCTGAGTGACAGATGTCCATGCTTCAGCAGTGCTCTGAGCACGTCTCCTGGCCCAGGAGTGCTAACTCTCCACCACACAAGTATTTTGAAGAGATTGCTTTCAACCAGATTTGGGACTGATGTTTTCACGTGGGTTCATTTTATTTTTAGCATTTTAAAATAAACCTAGCACATTAAATTTACTGCTGAGGTTACAAAGCAGGTTAATTTGTTCCCTTATCAGTGTATATGTGTCCAAGTTCTTCACTTTGGGAAGGAAGATGGATTCCACCTTAAATGGGGTGGAAGGAGGATCTGCAGTATAAAAAAAAGAGCAAACTCCTTAGCACCAAATAATAATTACAGAATGATTTGGATTGAAAGAGACCTTAAAGATCATCTAGTTCCAGGCCCCCTGCTTGGGATTGCTAACAAAAATAAAATCATGGTCTTTTCTCAGAATCCAAACAAAATAAGTTGTAAAATGCAGCTTTATGTATCTGTGGGGTTATTAAATTCCTATTTAAAAGATTGTGATCATCTCTTGCCTTCATTTTTAATTCCCATTCAGAAAGGAGGGAGAAAAAATTTTAGGAAGTCAGAAAAGGAGGTTGGGACTTGAGAAAACCATGATTCCCCCGTAATCTCTTTGTCAGGAGGCCTAATAGGTGTTTTAAAGGTCTATTACAATACTGTCCATGCTGCTGCCTGTCCAGCAATTTGATATGATCTTCCTGCACTGTACAGTGGTGAATGTCAAACGAGAAAGGTGAGCCAAAGATAGTGACTTCCACTGAAAGTGTCCCTGCTATGCCCTGCTCTCTTTGGTGCTCTCAGATCCTACACAGAACACACCCCTGCACACAGTGGTAATTGCATCATCTCTTAAAATGATCAATACCAGATTAGCCCATGATGTCATTAACAAGAGAACAAGTAGATAATTGTCCTCATTGGAATGTTAACTCCATAGTAATAAAGCAATTTGATATAAAACAACATAGGTCAAACACTTCCTCTGAGCATTCCAGAGCCAAGAGGTTCGGGCAGCAGTGAGCCCAGGCCTTCCTAGTCTAGCACAGCTCAGAGCAGAAACCCAGCAAAGAAGCAGCTGAGTAGGCCAGTGCCACAGCTGATGTGAAACACTGACCTTTAAAAGTCACTTACACTGCTGTAGTATCTTTCAGTCTAGTGCTTTGCTTTGCACTAATGAGCAGAACCATTTCTTGCTGCTGCAAACAAAACAGCAAGGAAGGGATGCACAGAGAAGACAGAGACAGCCAGAAGATTAAAGGTCATGGTGTGCTGGGGAAAGGGACACCAGAGAGGAAAGTCAAGAGTGTTCTCTCACCAGAACTGTCTGAGACCCCAAGTTACCATCAGCAAAACTGGACACAGATGATTTCATTGCCCGGGTTTATTTAGAAAACCTTTCAGTGAATTCAGCCTCTCAAGTAAAGCCAAGCTGAGTGTCCATGGGAATGGAGCCTCAGCTTAGAGCTCAAAAGAGACACTGCAGGTGTGACAGAGGACACTCCACCTGTGCTGTTCCACTGTGGTGCCTCAGTCCCACACTGCAAAGGATTTCCCTACTAACACAGGGATGTGAAGATGACAGAACTCTCAACTTTGATACACTAACCATGTATTATACCACTATGTAATAATGCTACCTGGGAATCTTGACCCAAAATAATAAAGACATTTTAAAGGACTCAACACTTAAGTTAGGTGTGACTGTTATCAGCAAACCTACCTGACACTTCTCCTTGAGGTCCATGGCTGTGCAGTTCTGTAAGCATGTCCAGCAAAAGGGGACTGCTCCTCAGGGGAGAATGTCTCCTAGGTAGAGAAGAGCTTGGCTACATTTACCACATCACCATCTGTAGAAACAGAAGGGGAAGCAATCAAGTCTCCCACATTGCTTCCTTTAGGATAAGAAAGTGATGAAATTCACAAAATTCAAATTACAGGATTGGTCTTTAAAAGAACTAGGGAGATGAAAGTCCTTCTAACAGTGCATCAACCCACCCTGTAACTCAGAAGTTAGCTTAATTCTCCCCAAAATCTGGCATCCACAGATGAATTAAATTCCCTGAAGTACAGAGTTAAGAGTATGACTGTAGTCTTGACAGACTTTTGGGCAAACCTCCAAAAATAGCTGACAAAGCCTGGATTCCACCAGGTGTTTGAGCAAGCTGTCACCCACGGCTATTTGTCTTGTTACTCTTATCTACCAGGAGCTTTGTCCAGCTAATCTCTAATGGAGCCAGCAAGAATGATTCCTCCATTTGCTGAACATCACATCCAACCTTTGACAAGGCTGTGCTGCTGGGCTGAGCATGGATCTGATGACCAGTAGGTAGGCAAGAACTCCTGAAAACATTTCCAGATGACCATGGATCCAGGTCTTTTCTCTTTTCAGCAAAAGTGGGGATCTAACAGAATTGAGGGGAAGCAGCTCTGGAGCTCACATCCCTCCTCTAGCTCACCCTCCTCTACTTCCCATGGCACAAATTTGTTCTCCTTCCACAAAATGTCTTTTCTGGTCAAAAGAAAGGATCTGTGTACATTGTTCCAGAGGACTCTCTCACATATAAGCACAACATGATACTATAAGATTATGATTTTCTTGGGAAAGTCTTTCTGTTGGTTAATAATTCCTGGTTCTATCTTTTAATATCACACAGAAGCACGGGGCTTGGACATATTCTTCTCCTAAATCCAAATAAACAAGGAAGCAGTTAGATATGCAAATCAACCCCAACCACCCACACACCTCCTAGATAGAACAAGGACCAGCCTTTGCCAGCTGGGATTTACTACCCTGGTTTATACAACACTGCCTTCTTCAAAGGAGTCTGGAGATCCCATCCTCGTAGCCGTCACCTACAGCACATCTCTGACAATGCTGCATAATTTCAAGGAAAACAAAAGGCATCCAAAAGATTACTCAGAAACCCACTCTGTCCCATCCTGCACCTGCATTCTGGGGGTAAGGAGCAGGCATTCAATATTCAGAGTGCTGGTTATCAAAGACCTGCCTGCAAAACCACAACCAGCACCTGCAAGTGCCATTTTTTGGCTGCCAGGCTGGTTGGCATGAGCCACCAGTCTGGACTCTGCCCTACTCTTCTGTTCTGTGACCCTTTCAATGTGCACACAATGAGGGAATAAAGTTATTTTCAGTGACTTCATATCCCTGCCAGGCCAATTAGCAACTGCAAAAAGAAGATCAGACAAAGTTACTGGAGAGAAGCTGACAAACAGCTCCCAGCAGAGGGCAGGGAGTAGGAAGAAGGAAAAAGTAGTTTTGTGTGTTTGCACACAGCAGTTCAGAGCTTTAGTATCTTGCCTTTAATTTGAGAATGACTTCATAAGAGAAGGCAAGACAAGATGATTTTAAGGAGAAACTGGTCACTAACAATAAAAGGACTAAAATAAATCCATGATCCTTCTCTTTAGTCCCCTCAAGATAAGATTTATTAGTTGATCTACTGAAAGACTTATGTACCATGCCCTCACTTGTTCAAACAAAACTAAATGCCTGAATTTCTCTCTGGATCTGGATTTCAAAAGGATCCAGCACATTTGGGTGGTTATGGCTGGAGGGCAGGGTGCTGAGCTGGGCAGGAGGCAGAATTTCTGCACTGCCCCCAGTGACATTCTGATTCTGGCAGCAAACTGAAATGTGATCCTGAATGCAAAACACGCCATTCCCTAAAGTCTGAAGCACATTATCTGCATGCTTAGGAACACCACCCTGGAGTCCTTCAGTGCTAGGAAGCAGGAAACACACCAAGGGTGTTAAAAATACAAAGAACTGGTTGGAAAGAGTGAATATTCTCTGCTTAAAGAAATTCAAAAGCTGATATAGTGGACAACATTAGAAGAGTTTGTAAAAACAATCAGAGGTGCACAAAGCACTGGTTCATCATTGCACATGTTCAGGGCTTCTCCAAAATTTGAAGACACTGACCATCCCAGAAGCAGTTTAGTTTTTCTCACATCCCTAATTTACGGTACCAGCAGTGGTAGACTGTAGACATTTCACTGAGAGAAAGCAAGAAGGTAAATCTTTCCTGTGCCAATCTAGATACAAAGAAGAAGGAGAATGTTTAATTTTCCAATGTTTAAAAAGGGTTTTCATTTAAAACCAAAAATTCCAAACACAGCTAACCCCAGATAGGTTAGACTATCTTAGTCCTGGGGTAACTGAAGCCAATAGCAAAGACAGACTAGGATGAGAAACCAACCTTCCTCAATTTCTTCACCTGGACTGGCACTGGAGCCATAGAAGATATGATTTGTGCACTTTCTTTTGAATAAAGAATCAATCAAAATAAAACTGCAAGAATTTTGTCATTCCAACTAAAATACCTCACATGCATTGCAGAGGTGTTGCAAACACTCAGGAAATAGCTTCACACACTGAGGCTGCAGCGATTTAATAAATTCTGGAGGCAGCCTGCAAATCTGCAGAGTTGTGCATCCACTCACTCCTGACCCTGCAAGGTCCTTGTGTGCTCCCCTCCCACACTCCTGTTTCAGGGACTCCTGCAATTCCCACCTCCATCTGTACTCTGATGCAGGGACCCTCCACACCCTGGACCCATCCTAGTTTTGTGCACTGCTATTCCACACTGGAATATCTGCTTCTTTCTGTCCTCCCCATTCTTATCTCTCTTCTGTCTGCCCAGGCAATTAGTCACGTCAACATGTTACACTCTGCAGGGCAGAAATGAAATGGGACTGCTTTGCTGGGACATGTTGGAGGGTGTCAAATACTCAGCTGCAGACAATCAGAGATGCCTGAAGCTGTGGCTGCTCTAATCAGACACCACATGCTCCCAGTACAGCCAGTTTACCCCTTCCACTTTCCCAGCACACTCCATTCTCCTCAGGATTTTCCAGCCTAATGCAGTTTGTGAAACTTGGGAATGGCTAGATGTAGTGTTCAAGTGTCATCATGTTGCATTCAGTCTGAAAAATATTTCCAAATTGTTGGGCAAGAGTGAAAACCGGGATAGGGTTCACCAAATAATCCAATGCTAACAGCAAGCCAACTGCCTGGAATCCTGTATGCCAAACCCAGCCAATGGTTATCCCACAGCTGTGGGGACAGGCCTGCAACCCACCCTAGAATATCTCTATTTTACATGACTGACTGGGTTCTGTGCCTGGGTTTCCATGTGTGTCTGACATCCTTTTCAAATCAGAAAACATATCCACATGCCCCCTCCAAAACTTGTTTCAGTTTGGACGTTCCCTGAGCAAAGAGCCAGTCTTGTAAACTCAGAGTATCAGCAAGTGTTTGAAACATCCCTCTGGACAGCAGAACTTTGCAAGGGTCCATTCACCCTTTTCTTTACCAGATCATCTCTTGAATAACAATGTCTTATGCAGCCAGTGTATTTATATAGGTAAAAATACTGTGACTCAGATTTTCCTTTGAAATCCAAGGATTTCAGATCATTTAACCATCAGTATGAGATAGCAGTGTTGAATTTTAATAAAAAACTACACAGAATTATATATTACCTACAAAACTTATAAAACAACTAGCAAAAAGAAAGGTCAGGTAATTATATAACTTATAGACAGTTGGAAAGAAAAATGTGTTTCAGAAGCTGCTGTCTTTAGGGAGAAAAATAAATCAACCTAATGATACTATTTTCCCTAAAGTGTTCAATCACTGATGCTTCCATGTTATTTACTGAAAATTCCCAACACAGATTAGTCTATGAAAAATGATGGGGAGTGTGAACATTTCTTGCTGCCAAAAGTGAATTCCTCAAGAACAGAAGCCTGATCTGTCACTGAGAATAGAAACACGGGGGCACAGATAATAACCAAAAAAAGCAGCTGCCTTAGAGAAAATGGCTTTGATTTGAGCTGATTGTTTTGATATCAGCAGAACCATATGGTCTTCCTACTCATGAGGAGCTGATGTCTGCCTGGTAATTTGCCACACGGGCACATTTGCTGATATATGGCCTTCCAAAGGTGCATCAAGTGATACTGTCAATTGCTTTGAGACCCACTGAGATCATGGAATAATTACAGCAAGGGAGCTGGCAGCCACACTTCTTGGCTTCAGTATCTGCCTGTGAAAAAAGATTTGTCAGAAGTTGGGCCAGCTAAATATTCTCTGCCTCAATAACCCCAGATTGTAGATAGGAATATGCATATCTGCTTCAGAGGGAGACTGTGAAGTAAATTTATTAGTATCTGTAAAGTGAGCTCCTCTGAAATAGTGTTGCATATGTGCTAAGTATTATCAACTCAGTAGTGGTCAAATATCTCATTTGAGCCTGGCTGTGAAGAATCAGGTGCTGATCTCACAGTCTCTGCTTCCCTTCCTAAATAACAGGAATCAGAGAGAGGTCTATTCTGCACTGAATCACAAACAGAACGTGAAATGAACTTAGAGATTGTCATCCATTGACAACTGTACTTCTTGGAGGTGAAATTACTTTTTGTTTAAACCTTACTTGCTGAGAGTTTTCCAGTAAAAAAATATCTGACTCTTTCCTACTTTCTCCAGCACATTCAGGACCTGAACGTTGGACTGTTTCAAAAGAGAGTCATTGCTCAAAATGAAACCTGAGCAACAAAGAGGGAAAAGGGGAGTAGGGAATTGTTTTGGCTCACTTGTAAAGTAAGACCTTTGGCTTACTTAAGAGATTAAGAATGATAAAACAAGATGTTCCACAAGTGAAAAAACACCTTTATTTTTGTTTTTAATTTCATTTTGGTGAGCTGAGAAGCAATTATCAAAAAGAAATATGATCAAAAGAATTACAAAGCTAGTATACTCTACCTTACGGTTTCCACAGGGGCTAATATGGTTTCCAATTAAGGTATTGTAAATCTGA